GCTTCTCCAGGAGGATGCTGTGGGAGACGGACACAGAGCTGGGTGCCTTGAGCCATTCTTGTTGAGCAGTGAACTCTGGCTTGAGCTCAGGAAAAAGAGGAAACCGGGTGCTTGAATTGAAATTAGGACTTTACCTGAATTAGGAATTTCAAGCTCTGTTTCCTCTGCGGGTGGGGAGGTGTAGGTTTAAAATCGGCTTTAAAATTGAAGTACTCCTGAAGGGCTTGGTGCAGCTTCATTCAGGACAAATAAAACCCTTAAATCCTTGGGGTTTTTTTCCATCTTCGCAGGCTGGTTTATAAATGGTTTCTACTAATATACAAGATCAGCTACGCCACCGGCATTGTGGGCTACATGGCTGTGATGTTCACCCTTTTCGGGCTCAATTTTCTCTTCCGGTGAGTGAATCTTGGGCTCCCAGTCGTGGGGCTGCGTCTGCACGCTGGCTTTGCCCCCCCAAAATAAAGCTCTTGGTGCCATTGGTCGCTCTGTTGCAGGATCAAACCCGAAGACGCCATGGATTTTGGCATCTCCCTCCTCTTTTATGGCCTCTACTACGGGGTGCTGGAGCGGGACTTTGCCGAAATGTGTGCGGATTACATGGCCTCCACCATCGGGGTGAGTCAGGGCCCCCTGCCCCATTTTTTGGGGGTGGGAGAGTCTGAAAGGTCTCGGTCACAACCATAGCTTTTGCTTCCCCCAAAATGACAACCCCCAGGCTCCCTCGTCAAGGGAGGGCTCCCGAAATCCGCTGCCTTTTTTTGCTGTGGCGTACGGGCCTGGAGGTTTCTTCCTTAAGAGCAAAGCACGTCCCCCCCATCCCCAGAAGAAATAAGTGAAAAGATCTGCTCAGCCCTTCTAAATTCTGATTTTTAAGCAAATATTTCCCTACCTGAATCTTTAAAACCTCCGTTACCGCACAGTGCCCCTGTGCAGCTTGTGCAGTCCCTGTGGCCGGATTGTGCCTTCCTGCCCACCCAAAATCTGCCGCCTGCAGGGTCTGGGGCACCATGGGATTTGGGGTGCTATGGGGTGAGAATTTGGGGTGCCGTGGGGTGAGGGTTTGGGGT